AACAAAAACCGTCCCCAGAGTTGTTGTTGTTCTGTTTTTGAACACTCCCCCTGCAGAGGGACAGGCCCGACGTAACACTGGATAAGGAGCACGGGGTCTTGAAGCCAATGGAACATCAGTGAATGAATGGGCCCCAGGACACACAAATAAATACACACACATAAAAAGATTCCCCCTGTTTTCCTATATTTTCTGGGTTTCTGTCTTCCCCCCCACTTCCCATATTTTCCCATACTTTCTGGGGAATCGAAGATGAAGTGTGTCTGTATGTTTCTTTCCCTCCTGAATGAAGGCCCTTTTGGTTGACGGGAGCCCACGTGGCCCCCGGCGCTGCCCGCTGTGGGCCTGCTTTGGGTTGCATTTGCGACACGGCTGGCACTGGAGCGAGGCCGAGTTTGGCCCGGGCTCGGCCCGGCGCGATGGAGGCGAGAAGAACGAGGGGGAGGAGACACAGGAGGGGCTGTTTTAAACATGCTTAACACATGTTCAGAACATTTTCCTACATTTTAGACGCTTAAAATTCAATGATAGGGCCGTTAGGGTGTTCATTGTCGTGGTATTCACAACTTTACAGGAGGGATGTTCACGAATAGTCAAAAGATAGTCTGGGAACGGTTTTTGTTGAAGCATGTTTGAAACATGATGTTTGCGTGTCTTTGTTCTGTCCAAATGCGGCCCAAACTCAGGAACAAAATCGCCGCCCAGGGCCCCCCGTGGAGCAGACCTCGAACGCACCGAGATCTCGGACCCGGGGCCGCGCATGGGAGCAGTGATACCGTCGGGCGTCTGGGCAGGCCCCGCGAGCTCGGCACGCAGCGCACAGGTCGTGGGACTGGCTCGGGGCGGGGGGGGAGGGGCAGCGAGCTGAAATCGTTGATGCATGGCCGATGGATCGGCCATGGGACCCTCCGGGCGACACCGCACGGAGTGGGCTGTCGGGCACCATGTCGGCGATCCATTGGCGCTTTGGGGGTGGATGCGTTCCCCCCTGAGCCTATCCCCTCCTGACGTTGACCCTGACACCCGCTCTCGCCCAGAGCTGAGGACCGCCGCTCTTGCTAAGGGCAGCGCAGAGAGAGAGAGAGAGAGATAGAGCGATAGAGAAAGAGAGAGAGAGAACCCGAACATGTTTTCGCCCTCGCAAGCGGCTCGTCCTCAAGGCACAGGCCCCGACAGTTGTGCGGCAGCGCCCGCCACGGCCATCGTTTCGCATGTCCAACGTCAGGCGACGTGCAGATTGCCAGAACATCGGCTGGCTGGCTGATGCAACCACTCCTGCCTGCGCCCCCGAAAAACGCACCCCGCGAGAGAAGCCCCAGAAAGATCGACATACGAATACGAAGCACCCCGCCATGGCGGCTAAGCGTGCGGGGCGAGCGCTGGGCGGCCGCGGCGTGGGTCGCGGGGGTGGGTCGCGGGCGGGGTCGCGGGGTTTGGGCCGCGGGCTGGGTCGCGGGGGGCCACTGGATCCCCCTTCGCCCACGCACCCAAACGATGGTGTAATGCGGGATGACGATGTATTAAAAAAATGGGAGAGAACGATATAAAAAAACATAGTTTTCCGCTATTTGTGCACAATTTTCTGACTGGAGGAGAACGATTACAAAAAATAGCTTTCCAGCCCGCGGCCAGTTTTTTCTCATCGCCATCCCGGGCGCCGCCGCGTGAACACGACCCCCGGTTATTCATTAATCGTCATCCCCCATTAAGACCGTTCGGCCCCCGCACTCTGCTCTTTGACTCCCTCCCGCGCCTGCCCCCGGCTCCGGCTTCCACCGGCCAGCCCCGGCGGCACGCGACTAGTGAGAGCGACCCCGTGGGCGGGGGGCGGCCTCCGTAAAGCGCGGCGTGCCGATCGCCGCGGCGCGGTGCACCGGCAGCGGCATATGCGCCCAAGCGACGGAAACAGACACAGCAGTGGCCATCGACGTTTGCTCGGCGCGTCGCCGCGGCGGCCCCGGCGACACGCCATGCCGCGGAAGTGATGCAGTCGGGGCGTTGACCTAAGGAACCCTAAACAAGGAACGAGGCCCCTTGTCTCCATAAGTTAAACTTCGATTTCCGATCGAAAACATAAGGGAAACCTGAGGCAAGCTGTGAAACACTTAAGGAACGCGGAGCCCCTCCCCAACCAAAAGGGTTCCTTCTTCAGGGCCCCGACTGTAGCGTGTCGGCGTGTCGCTCCGCTCCGGGGGGGGAGGCTGGGCGAGGCTCGGGAAGTTGACGCGTGGGGATCCGGAAGTGGCCGCATCAGAAGGGTGCGCGATGAGGATGCACGGGCCCTGGGCGCCCACGTCGGAGCTGCTCGAGCGTGGCGCGGCCAACAAGAGTGGTCCTGGATGGACCGAGGAGGCAAGGATGCAAGGTACCCTTGGGAAGGCTGCCCATCCTTACTCCTTGGCGGCGCGCACAAGGGGGTTGAGGGGGGGGAGGGCTTCTTAGGGGGAGGCTGCTTCTTGGAAGGCGCCGGCCTTACATCTATAGATACCGCCCGCGCCTCCTGAAAAGCAGGGGTGCTTCTGAGAAGCCCTCCCCCCTCCCCCCACCCCACTTCTGCGCGTGGCTGAACTATGCGGGTCGACACTGTACCGGCGACGCGACACGCTGACCCAAAGTTCCTGGGCGCAGACTTTCGAAGCTTAGGAGGAGGAGGAGGAGGAGGAGGAGGAGGGGGAGGAGGAGGGGAGGAGGAGGAGGAGGGGAGGGAGGAGGAGGAGGAGGAGGGGAGGGAGGAGGAGGAGGAGGAGGAGGAGGAGGAGGAGGAGGGAGGAGGAGGAGGGGGGAGGAGGGAGAGGAGGGGGAGGAGGAGGAGGAGGAGGAGGAGGAGGAGGAGGAGGAGGAGGAGGAGGAGGAGGAGGAGGAGGAGGGAGGGAGGAGGGGGACGAGGAGGAGGGGGAGGAGGAGGAGGAGGAGGAGGAGGGCGGCTGTCTTGGCCCCAGCCCTCGGGGGGGCCCAGCGCCCCCGGCGGCGCCCCGGGGGGCCCCCAGAAAGCCGCGCGGGCCGTCGGGAGCTTCTGCCTGTGCAGTGTGTGTGCTCCTCCGAGGCGTGTGCGCTTCTCTGGTTTGGACCCCTCTCCCTCTCGCGAAAGCGGCACCTGGTATGACTGCCTACCGGACAGCCCCACCCCAACCCGAAGGCCCGAATTTCCGGTGGGGGGGGGGTACGGGTTCCATACCTATGTTTGTCAGTGTTCCCCGACCGCCCCCCCTTATTGGAAATGGAAAGCGAATTGAGGCCTTCGGGTTAGGTTGGGGTGGTTTGGTGGGTGGTGATGGTGTCACTCCCGCGAAGGGCCAACTTCCTGCGCGTTTGGCAGGACCGCCTGCTCCTGCTCCTGCTCCTGCTCGGGGACTCTAGCTCCTGCACCTGCCGCAGCTTCTGCTCCAATTGGGGAAGGGGTAAGCGCAGGAGGAGGAGCAAGAAAAAGATGAGGCGAGGAGGGGGAGGAGGAGGATTCAGAGAAGGAGGAGGGAGGAAGACGACGACAAGTAGCAGAGAGCACGAGGAGGTGGAAGAGAAGGGACGACGAGGAAGAGGGGAGGATAAGGATGGGGAAGGGGAAGGGAAGGACATCAAGGTGCAGGAGGAGGAGGAGGAGGAGGAGGGTGACGAGGGGGACGACAAGGATGCGAGGGAAGATGGAGGAAAGAGGGGAAAGGGCACTTTGGAAGTCTTGATAAAAACTGCTCGAACACGGAGACGGGGGAGGGGATGAGGGCAACACGGAGGAGGAGAAGGAGAGGAGGAGGAGGAAAAGGAGGGAAGAAGGAGGAGGCAGGATGATGTACGAGGGGAGCCAGGGCAAGGAGGAGGAGGGGCGAGGAGGCCAAGGAGAAGGGGACAAGGCTCGGGGCAACCAAGAGGTGCCGATGCCGCTGCGCCCCAGACCTCTCGCCCCCCGTGCGCTCCGGCTGAGATCTCGGGACGAATCCGGCCGCGACGACGAGGGATGGGCACGGTCGAACCGTGTGGCGACTAGAGGAAACATAACTATGCACATACACCGATTCTGGCCAGGCCCATCCTGAGCCCAGGATCGGTGCATATGCCCTCCTACCTTGGCCAGGAAGGCATATGCACCGATCATGGGTCAAGGATGGGCCTTGCCAGGATCGGTGCATGTGCATAATTCTCTTCGCCCGAGGCGACAAGAGCGCGTGCCAAGAGGAAGATCCCCTGCGCCGAGGGCTTCCACAGCCTCGGGCAGATCCCCCCCCCAACGAGCCCCACTCCAGAGTGGAGAAGCCCGTATTCGGCAGGTCCGTGCCGTGACGACCCCGGCGTTGGTTTTTCTGACACCGCACGGATCGTTCAGCCTTGAACGATCGGCGGCTCTTCGATCGCCCAATCGTTTCATAAAAAAATGGAGTAGCAAAGAAAGTGTAAGAAAACGTTTGATCTGGCAATAAAACAAAAGAAACATATTTTTGTGGGACAAATCAGATTTTAGAAAACAATTGTGCGAACAAAAATGAATGTTTAATTGTTCGATTCTGGGCCACCGGCGGCGTTCCACCTCGAACGCCCGCGGTGGGGTCGACGAGGGCCGACGCGACGCGACCCTGCCGCACACGGAGGGCGTGAGGGCCCCCCACCGGGTGTGCCCAGTCGCCGAGGGTCCGGAGCCCCACGAGGGTGCCCCGGAGAAGCCGCGCAGTCCAAGGCGGGTGCGCCACGACGTCACAGTCATAACCCATCCTGACAAGGGGGAGGAGGAGGAGGAGGAGGAGGAGGAGGAGGAGGAGGAGGAGGAGGAGGAGGAGGAGGAGGAGGAGGAGGAGGAGGAGGAGGAGGGGGAGGAGGAGGAGGAGGAGGGGGAGGAGGAGGAGGAGGAGGAGGAGGAGGAGGAGGAGGAGGAGGAGGAGGAGGAAGGAGCAGGAGGAGGAGGAGGATCAGGAGGAGAGCAGCGGAGAGCAGCGGCAGGACGTCGCGTCGGCCAGGCCAACGTCGCGTCGGCCAGGCCAACTAGACGCAGCACAGGCGGCCAGGGGGCCGCAGCCTCAGGGGAGGCCAGTGATGCCGATCACGTCGACGGACGCGAAGGGCGGCGCGCTGGGGCCAGACCGCCGCGCAGCGCCGTGCGGCGAGCCGCTGGGGCCAGAACGCCACGCAGCGGCTGCCCGTGCCAGGAGAGGCCGACCCTCAACCACTTCTCCGTCGCCTCCTGCGTCCCGCATTCCACGGCACCGAAGGCGCTCTGAGCGGGCCAATGGGCGGTGGCTGCCCTTCCCGCCGCAGCTCGGCCAGCCACGTCCGCAGGCACACGTAGTCGTAGCGCCGCATGCAGTCCGACACGATCCTCTGCGACCGCGTCAGCGTGTGGCGCCACCTGTAGTAGGCCCGCCTCGCGGGCATGCCAGTCCCCCAGGCCCGCTCGCAGATCTCCTCGGCCATCTCCTCGGCCGTCCTCCCACGCGCCCGCAGCCTGGTGGCGAAGCGCGGCTGGGACAGGATCTGCGTGACGTAGCCGACGCAGTGGTCGAGCCACTCGCTGTGGCACTCCATCGTCTCGCCGACCTCGGGAGCCTGGGTCCAGTACCGCGCCCATCCAGCGACCTGCAGCTCAAGCCTGGGCGCGACGCTGCGCCTCGGCTGCGCTGGCTCAGGCCGAGCCACCGCAACTCTGCCAGCACTCAGGGCGGGGCCGCACACACGGTCGGCACTTGCAGGTCCCCTGCCACCCCTGGTGCTGGCCATGCACATGCCGTCGCGGTCCGCGTCGCTTCCTGGGCTCAGGGCGGGGCCGCACTCACGCACGCACATTGCAGGTCCCCTGCCACCCCTGGCCCAGGCCGTAATCCGTCGCCGCTCGGGGTGGGTGCTGGTGCTCAGGGCGGGGCCGCACTCAGGACCGCAGACTGCAGGTCCCCTGCCACCCCTGGCACCAGCCGTAGCTGCACGCGGACACGCCCCCCCAGAAGCCAGCTGCGGCTGCCGCTGGTCCTCCTCAGGCGACGCCGCTTCCAGAGACCCGCTGCCAGTGCCCAGGGCGGGGCCGCACACAGGACTGCACTTTGCAGGTCCCCTGCCACCCCTGGCGCTGGCCATACCCTTGCCGTCGCGGTCCTCGTCGCATCCTGGGCTCAGGGCGGGGCCGCACTCACGCACGCACATTGCAGGTCCCCTGCCACCCCTGGCCCAGGCCGTAAATCGTCGCCGCACGCGGTGGGCCTGGCTGCCGTCGCCGCCAGTGCCCAAGGTGGGGCCGCACTCAGGGTCGCGGCTTGCAGGCCTCCTGCCACCCTTGTCACTGGCCATGCCTGGCAGCGCCCGCTGCGAGTTGTCAGACCTGCCAGCACTCAGGGCGGGGCCGCACTCGCGACCGCACTTTGCAGGTCCCCTGCCACCCCTGGTGCTGGCCATATCGGTAGTCGAGAACGGCTGCGGCGGGCTGCTCATGTCCTGAGGGCTGGTCACGGCGCCCTCCAGGTGGTCCGTGGTCAGCGTCACCTCGTGTGCCAGGTCACACCTCAAGGGCGCAGGCAGCCGCGACGGCCCCGCCGCCAGACAGGCATCGACCACCCCCACGTCTGGGGCAGCTGGCGGCGGCTGGAGCGTCACCAGTCCAGTGGTGCCCCCGTCGGGGCATTGGTGCGCTCCATAGGCCGAGGGCAAGCTGCCGTCGGCCATGTCTCCCTCATCACGCTGCGCGCCGCTGGCGGCTGCTGGACCACGTTCGGCTAGCAGATGCTGCTGCCTTCGCTGCATCCGTTCCAGGAGCTCCTGCCGTCGCACCCGCCAAGCAGGCTTCTTGGTCTGGACTGCGTCGGACCCTCCAGCCCCTGCAGGCACCTCGCGCGTCTCGTGGTCCTGGCCAGGCCTGGTCGCCTCGCCCTGTTCCTTCTGCGCGTGCCTGCCGCTTGGCCGCTCTGCAGCGCCGTCGCCCCCAGAGGCCATGTCGCCCGCGGCCGCGCTGGCCGCCGCTGTGGCCCATGTTCTGGGGCCGTCTGGAGCCTCGCCTGCACCTCCCCAAGTGAGCACCTTTCCTGTCTTGGGGTGCAGCCCTTGGCTGAGCTTCTTGAGCCGCGCCCTGAGGTTGGACAGGTAGGTGCGCTGGTTCTTGCCCTCGGCGCTGGGCGGGCCAGCGCAGGGCGCAGCCAGGGCCAGTGAGGAGCCTGTCGCCGCCCACGCCACGCATACCTCGCAGTAGATGGTGGGCCCTGCGCGCCTCAGCCTGTGCCCCTGCATCTCGATGGTGCCGTCCCCTGAGCCCCAGGGGGCAGGCTCGGCTGGCCTGGGCCCCGCATCTTCGGGGCACGCCGCTCGCTCGATCGCCTGCATAGCGAACTCGCCCGCCTCCGAGACCACAATGGGCTGCGCGCCGACGTGCGCGATGATGGCCTCGGCCCGCAGCGCGGTGTACTGGCTGGCCTCGCAAGCTGAACGCGCGAACTGCGTCCATGTGGGCCCCGTCTGCCCGCTGGTCTGCCTGCAGCAAGCGCGGCACAGCACCACCGCCGTCCCGTTCAGGCGAACCAGGGAGTGGCTGATCACAGTCGCCGCCTGCACCTTGGGCACCTTTGGCGGGCGGGCTGTCTGCTCGGGCGCATCCCAGCGGCCTGCGTGCATCGTCCTCTGCATCGCCCAGCCGACGTACTTTGCCAGGCTCTTGTAGTGTTGCAGCTCGATGTTGTAGAACTCCTCGTACACCTTCGACACGGTGTGCTGCATGGCTCCTTGCCGAGCGAACCAGTCGGCCCACATGTTGCCAGAGTACAGCAGCGGGTGGAGGCCTCGGTCCAAGTACGCATCCATGTCCTGATGCGCGGGGATCCATCTCACTTCAGGCCGCGCTGGCTGGGCACGAATCCGTCTCCACACTGTGGCATGTGCCGCTCGCGCCTCCTCTAGCTCCTGCCCCCAGTGGCTGCATTCCTTCTCCATCGACAGGAGGTCGGTGAAGACGAACTCGAGCTGCGGCCCCGCGAGCCGCAATGCCTGCAGCAGCGCGTGCCTCTCCGCGCGCCCGACCGTCTGGGGCGGCCCTGGCAGCGCCCCGAACGCCGCCCGAACAGGCAGTCCCTGGAGGGAAAGCTGCACGAAGGCCCATCCGCAGCGCCTCAGCTCGGGCATGCTGGACGCGAAGCCTGAGCCATCGGTGAAGACGGCGTTGCTGCAGGAAGCCGTGTCCGCCCCTTGGCTAGGCCAGCAGCCCCAGAACTTCACCTCGGCCTGCTCCGCGGCGGGCGGCACGAATGGCGGCATGCAGGGCAAGCACATTTGGAAGTCGGCGCTCTCGAAGCTGCCGCCCTCCTGCAGGCCTTTGTCGCACATGAAGGTGCGGATGGCCTGCATCGGCTCGGGCGGCAGCTGCTCGTCCTGCTCCTCCTCTGTGAGCGGCTGCACGAGTACCTCGCAGCCGAAAAATCTGTGCCCAGGCGAGTCGGACGGATGTCCGCAGGCCCTGCAATTCGGCGCCGCCGCCAGCCCAAGGTCGTGCTGGGCCTGTTGCGTCCAGGCCACCGTCGCCCAGTGGTGACGCAGGCTGGTGGCCGACGGGCCCTCCGCCAAAGCCGCGCGCCCGTCGCCCACGCAGAGCCGCATGGCCCGCACCCAAGGCTTGACCTCGCCGTGCTGGCGGTGGTGCGCCGCGATCTGCCTCGCCTGCCAGCGTTGCACGCCGCCGGTCAGATGCATCCTGACGTCCTTCGGGCACGTGGTGAGGAGGTTGATCGCCGTATCCTGGTCGGTGACCAGGGTCGTGCTGGAGTACATGTGCCATCCGATGCGCCAGAGCGTCAGCGTGACGGAGGCGATGGGACCGCGAGCCCCTGCCCAGGACGGGCGCCCCACGAGCCGCTCCGTGACCTTGGCCCAGGCCCTGTGGAGCCTAGCCAGGGAGGTGCGTTGTTCCCAGATCCAGCTGGCGTATCGGCAAACGATGTCGCAGGTGGCGCCGTAGATGGGGTCGTACTCGCGCGCCTTCTGCGTGGCTAAATACACCGTGACGCTCGATGCACCTGGCCGAGCCCCTGCAAGCCTGCCAGCCTCGGCCCTCAGCACCTGCAGCGTATCGTCGGTGAGCCCTGACACCCCAGCACCGTGCGCCGCACTCGGCATGAGGCCCGTCTTCCACAGGCAGGTAGCGCGCCTGCCCACTGCCCCTCTGAAAGCTGCCAACTTGCCGCGCCGCTCCTTGAGCTGCCGCACCCGCTTTGCCGTCTGGAGCCTAGCGATTCTGCGCCCGCCCAGATCGTGCCCCAGGTTGCGGGCCCAGCGCATCTTGGTCAGCTTGCGGGCCGCCGCGTGTCGGGCACACTCGCGAGCAGCCGCGTCCGATGAGACCAAGTAGCCCGACTTGGTGTGCTGCACGACAATGCCTCGCTCTTGGGCGCCCTCTCGGAACCTGGTGGTGGCCGCCCAAAGCACGCCCAGTTGCGAGAGCCGCCTCCCGCGCCACTGCAAGGTGACGTCGTCGATGAGGGCCCTCGGGGTGACGCCTGCATCTCGCACCTGCTCGAGCAGCCTGAACATGAGCAAGGTGACCATGGCACAGGCGTGAGTGCATCCTGCGAGCACGCCCTGATGTGACACGACCGCGTAGGACACCGAGCCGAAAGCTTGCAGCCGCCTCGGCTGCCTGTATAGCTCAATCAACATCCAGACCAACCGCAGCGGCATGCCCAGCAGCCGCGCCTCGATGAGTAGCCACTCGGGCTTAATCGTCCCAAAGAACTTCCAGGCGTCCAGCATGACGATGACGACGTGCTCGTCCAGGCAGTCCGATACCTCCGTCTCAAGGTTGAGGTCGAAGGCGGAGTCGGAGGACGATCTGCCGCCGCCCATGCCCCAAATGCTGGCATTGGGGTGCGCCGTCAGCCACGCCTTGGACGTCGAGGCACGAGCCCTCGACCACCATCGGATTAACGAGTGCATCAGCGTGATCAGCCTGCAGCCGCCAGAGGCCTTGGGGATGCGGCACATAGCGTGCCACAGCCTTTCGCTGGGCCAAGCCCCCAGCGCCTCGCACTTCATGAAGAGCTGGCCGCAGGTGTAAACGCCGTCGTCCGTGAGAAAGGTGAGCGCGCGCATGCCGATCTGCGCTGGGCCGAGCGCCGTGGTGGTGGGGAAGCTGCAGGCGGCCCGCTGCAGCGCCTCCACGGTGAGGTCTTCGAGGTCGTCCCATTCGTCGAAGTCAGCTGGCCTTTCCAGCGCCTCGAGCTTGTGGCACGACCAGACGTCCTCCCAGGCCTTCATCTCCCGGTCGCAGATCAGGTGCTGGCTGGCGACCTGCTGCTGCGGGACGAAGGTCTGGGCGAGCCGTCCAGTGGTGAGCTCGGTGTGGGTGCCCTGCCATTGCGCCAGCACCTCCTGCATCGCCCGCAGCTTGGTGAAGCGGTGCGCCTTGCCAGCGCCGTTCCGCAGGCTGTCGTTGGCCCACTGGATCCAGCTCTGCTGCCTGACCTTGAGCGCGTCCGCGTGGGCGTCCTTGGCGAACTGGACGATGCGGCCCGCCTGCTCCAGGAAGTCGGTGTTGCCGATCACGCGAAAGCCCTGCTCGAAGAAGGACCTCACCCAATGCGGGAGCAGTGCTAGCGTCTTCTTGCTGTCCATAACCACGCGCCCATACTCCAAAGCCCTCACGACGAAGTCCGCCAGCTCGTGGTACTGCTCAGGGACAAGGGAGCACTGCAGGCTGGCGGTTTGCAGCCTCCTGCTGGCCTTCGCGAGGAACGCGCTGACCCCCATGAAGTGACGCGCCCATCGGCCCGCGACCTTGGCCGCGATGACATCAGGCCCCAATCGGACACGCTGCCCTTGCGGCTTCCACTTGACTGGCGCCAGCTTGGTCGCAATGGGCCCCGCACGTCCTTCGAACCGCCTGCGCGCTTCGCCAACCTGGTCGTAGCGGTCCAACAGCTCCTGCTCCAAGGTGCTGACGACGGCGTCCCAGGCTGCTGGCAGCTCCTCGGCGCTGGTTGTGGCGCGCACCTGGGCCAAAGTGGGCGCCCAGTCCTCGACACCGCGGCTGCAGCCGATGGGCGGCACCGCTGGAATCGCCCTGGGGGCGATCGGGATCCTCACGCGCATGTCCAGGTCGGCGGCACGCAGCTCCATGTTGACAGGGAGGTGCGGGGAGGTGATGCCCAACTCATCCACTCTCGGAGCCGAGATGCGGCTGGCCAGGTTTGCACCGACCAGAAAGTAGTCCAGCACCGAGCCGCTGCCCGCCTGTGGGCGGCAGGTGTCGGCCGACGGCGCTAGCCAGAGGCCCCCCGCCTTTTCCAACTGCGCCAGGGGCAGGCAGCTGGGAGGCCCATTGAAGTCGCCGCCGACGATCCAATCGATGCCCGAGGCCGTGAGCTTCGTGAGGTAGCGAGTGAGCGCGCCGAAGATGCTTCGGTTCACGTCGTTCATGCCAACGCTGTCGACCAGGTAGGCCGACACGAAGACAATGCCGCCACGGACTCCCCAGTGCACGTGGGCGGCCACCAGTCGCCCTGGCCACAGTGTCGCCGAGGGCAGCAGCGGCGGGGCCGTGACGGGGATGTTCTTGCGGGCCAAGACCGCGACGCCGCCCGTAGTGCCCTCCGCGGAGGTGGGGCCTGCCACTGCTGGCGCCCAGATGCCCGCGAACCCGTGATCCAGCACCTCGTGCTGCAGGTCGGCGAGCTTCGCCTCGTCCCGTCGGTGATGCTCCTGGACGAGAACGACGTGCGACTCGAGGGTCTCTAGGCACGGCGCCAATGAACCCCAGGAAGTCACGTTGCTGGTAGTGATAGTGCCTTTCGCCATCGCAAGTGTGCAGGACATCGCGATGATGAGCTTAGTAAGGATTGAAGCCCCTGACGGCCAGCTCCGTGGCGCGCGCCAGCATGGCGTCGCTGGTCTCCTCTGCTGGCCCTGGTGAGAACGCCGCCATGGTCTGCCGCAGCTTCTCGGGCTCCATCGCGGCGGGATCCCAGCGCGGCGCTGCGGCTGCAGGGGCGGCGCCGCCTGCAGTGCCTGCGCCATGCGCGGCGGCGGCGGCGTCGTCTCCCTCGACGGACGCTGCAGGGGTGCGAGGGGCGCTCGCTGCCTCCGTGGCGGCGGCCCGCTCGCGCTGCCGCCGCAGCATGAGCTCCTGGAGGGGCCCGCCGAGCGCCGAGGCCAGCCGCTGCGGCAAATCGCCCGCGGTCTGCATGGTGTCGTCGGGGTGAGCGGCCAGCGCACCGCTGAGAGCCTGCGCCAGGTCGCCGAGGGTGAGGCCGCCCGTGTTCTTGATGACGTCGTGCTCCATGGACTGCCCAGGCGGACGATCCTCTGGCGCGACTGGGACCTGCTGCTGGAGTGCCGACTGCTCCGCCTGGAGGGCCACCTGCTGCGCCTTGAGCTCTCTGCCAGATTCTTCTGCCTGTGGGCCAGCGCCTGCGCCCGCGCGTGGAGCGGCTTGGCGGCGAAGAGCCTGTCCTTGGCGGCGGCGAGCCTGCGCTTGAGATCCTCCCGCGGGCCCGTGGCCCAGTCGTGCTGCACGTCCTTGAGCGTGGCCAGGCCTGCCTCGCACACCTTGATCTCGCTCG